CACACCACCACCATCACCATTCCACAGTATATGCATTCTATTTCCTGTCTTGTGTAGTTCTGTGGGTAAAATTCAAGTTGAAATATTAGACTAAGAGTTGTGGACTTCCTGGAAGATGAAGACGTGCGCAGTTCAAAGCACCTGCCCCCCAATTTGTCCCCTCCCACCAGAGTTACCAAGGAAAACAACTACAACTTGATCAATTCAAACTTTGTAACAGCTCAAAAGCAGTCAAAAAGGTACAGGAACTAAGCAAAAACTGAGGCATGAAAAGGGAAACTTTTAAATACTAGAAAAGCTTTCTTTATTGCCTGTGCCCTTCCCTTCTCTGGCTCAGCCATTGGATCATCTTAAAGGGTTGGCAGCTGCTGACCATAGTCTGGGGGGTGGGAGTCTGGATATCTGGGGCAGAGCAGGTAGAAACCGTTCATCACTGGGCTGATTCTGACTCATAGCAACCTTATACAACATTACAATTGTCCCATACGCTTTCCAAGGCTGTAATCTTTAAGGAAGCAAATGCTATCTTTCTTCCATGGGATTCAATCCTTCCATCCTCCAGTTAGCAGCTGAGTGCTTAACCTCTGTGCCACCAGAGCCCCTTCAGCAAGTATTGTTGTTGGTAACTGCTGATAGGTCCGTTCTGACTCATAGCAACCCTGTAAAGGGTTTCTGAGGAGCCACTGGTGAGCTCGAACCGCCAACCTTTCCGTTCAAACTGACTTTGCAGTCCAGTGTATTATCCCACAGCACCACACCAGGTCTGCTAAGCAGGCAAAAAGTCAACAAAAAACAAGTTCACTGCCATTGGTTGGATTCCAACTCACAGACAGAGTAGAATTGCTCCATAGGGTTTCCAAAGCTGTGAATCTTTACCAAAGCAGACTGCCACATCTTTCGCCCATGGAGCAGCTCTTGGGTTCGAACCACCCACCTTTCAGTTAGCAGCGTACTGCTTAACCCACCATACCACCAGGGCTCATTTATTGCAGTTATTGTTGTTGTTGTTAAGTGCCGTCGAGTCGATTCTGACCCATAGTGACCCAGTAAAGCGTTTCCAAGGAGCAGCTGGTGAGCTTGAACCACCAACCTTGCAGTTCATACTGACTTTGCAGTCCAGCACATTAGCTCAAAGCACCACACCAGGACTCCAGTGGCATTATTATGTGTGCTTATCTGTCTAGAGGATGCCTGTTGTTGTTGCTGTGGTTATGTGCCGTGGAGTCGGTTCCGACTCATAGCGACCCTATACAGGGTTTCCGAGGCTGTAAATCTTTACAGGAGCAGAAAGCCTCATCTTTCTCCTGTGGAACAGCTGGTAGTTTCGAACTGCTGACCCTAAAGTTAGCAGCCCGATTCATAACCACTATGCTACCAGAGCTACCTGGGGCTAAATAGTGTGATTGGAGCATACAATTAACTACATGATAGTATCTGGAAGCAGTTTAATGTCACTGAATTGTTGGAGTAAAGTTTAGAGCTTCCTAAAGCAGGCACTCCAAAAGATATGTTTACACAAACTTTCATTGTAGCACTGTTCACAATCACCCAAAGGTGCATACAGCTCAAGAACTCCCTCAACAACTGAGTGGTAAT